TGGCTGACTTCACGAGCCTCTGAAAGTGAGGTGGACTGGAGATTCAGCCCCGTGGTCCACAAAGGGCACTGCCTGCTGCAGGAATACTGATGAACAGATTTGGACTTACTTTGAATTGGTCTGGAATGGTTTTATACCTCCAGTTTGCTCAAGCAGAGGAAGTTCCGTCTGAACACGAGGAAGAACTTCTTCCCTCTGAGGGTGACGGAGCCCTGGAACAGGCTGCCCAGGGAGGCTGTGGAGTCTCCTTCTCTGGAGATATTCAAGCCCCGCCTGGACAAGGTCCTGTGCAGTCTGCTCTGGGTGACCCTGCTTTGGAAGGGGGTTGGACTGGGTGACCCACAGAGGTCCCTTCCAACCCCGAACATTCTGTGATTCTGTGATTCTGTGAAATCTTAACACCAAAACAACTGTCCTCCGCCCGTATGTGTCTCCACTCCCACCAGGAGCCTGGTAATGACAGGAGATGCTGCCCAGGCCTGGGGCAGAAAGCAGCAGAGGGTCCCTCCTGGGCAATGAAGCTCTCCAAACAAATGTGGCACCATTAAAGGGGCCCTGCGTGGGGCAGGGAATTGCAAGAGCGCTGTTCAGACTGGTGTGAATGGAGGGTGGATGGGACATTTAGCACTGGCAGGAGGAGGGCTGGGAGGATGGCAGGTGAGCAGGTTAGCAAGTCATCAAGATGCCAGCAGAGTCGGTCCTGACAACTCTCGGGGGTGGGCCAGTGCAGGCAGAGCCGTCAGCTCACCTCATGGGCAGGACAGGGCAGCAGAGTCCTGCAGGGCACGCTGGCAGGGCTGGGTCTGCGTTGGAGGTGTGTGGTCAGCTTCTCCAGAGCTCTCCGTTCTCGCCGTGCTTTGCGGGGTGCCTCGGGAAACTGGGTGCATTAGTTTCCCCTGGTGTCAGGGTACCAAGGGTCCAACAAGCCCCTGCTGTGCTGCGTGTTAAGGCCTTCTCTCGTGTCCCAAGGCCCAGGACTCGCATGCAGTAGAAAGTATAAAGGGTTTGCCTTTGACCAACTTCAGTAAAACATGGAAGGGAAGAAGATAAATGAGCGTAGATGGAGAGGAAACTCATTCACGAGAGACTGCTCTCAAGAAAGGCAGAATGTTAAAGCCCTGAGTGCCCATGGACAAATGGCTTGAAAAATTGACTCCCTTTTTCCCCCCCAAGTGTCTCTTTGCAGGTCCGCTACAGTTCAGGGTCACCTGAGTCCAAAGCTTCATGCCCTCAAACCACGAATACTCTGAGCAAACCACAGCGTGGAGCCTGGGAGTAACACAACCCACTTGAATGAAGAAATCTGAAAAAAAATAATATGTATCCTACACCACAATTACAGGTAGAGAAGGTATTTGAGGCGGTTAGTAAACATGCCAAATAATAAATAGAGCTATTCAGTCGGCAAACAGCTGCACGATTATAAATAGGAAAATCTACCCCAGCCCAAAGCCAGCTGAGACCCAACAACACACGCTCACTGAGGAGGGATCTTTTTTTGCGCGTGCATTTTTTGGAGGGAGGTTGAAAATATTTTGCCCACTCTTTATTTTAGGAAGGTGAAATGTCCCTGGCGGATTTCAAAAGCTAACCTCTCGGGTATGCGATCTCCATGCCAAGGCACTGAGTCACGAAGAGGTTGGAGGAAGCTGTTTCAAATCCAGACAGGGGATAAAACAGCTGTAATTGAGTCGCCAGCTCAGCTCAGTCTGCTAATAACCGCACAGCCCCGGCCCTGCCCTCAGCCCTGCACGCCGAGAGCTTTGCTCGCTGCCACTTTCACATGCTCTCTGGTTATTGCTTGGGGTCAGACTTGTCCACACCTATTCCGTTCTGAATGACTGCTTGTGTCCGGGCCAAACCCGGGTTCAGGGAGCGTGCTCGCAGGCTGGAGAGCGCTGTCCCTCCCCCCTTGTGCCCGGTGGGAGCCGACAGCCTCTAGGCACGTCCGCTGGGCCCTTGGGCTTGCAGGGACACTGCTGCTCTGCAAGTTGCATTTTAATGTGTTTGTCCACCCGTAAGTTTCTGGCACATGGGGTGTGATAGCAGCAGGGGACACGTCCTCCATCGTGGTCCGACCTTTCTGTTTGGTGCCTGTGGGGTTGCTTATGCCTGTTGCGGGGGTGCAGAATGAAGGGGCTTTGTGATCCGTAGGGATGGGAAGGTGGTACCCAGCACCCATGGGGGCTAGACATGAGAGGATGCCAGGCTGTTTGCCCAGAGAAGCTCCTGCCTCTGGCTGCTGGTATTGACACCATGGTGGTGGAGCAGGGACAACAGAAAAGGCGCTCTGGCTGCTTCTCAGCTGGTGCAGCTCCTCGCCTGACCCGTTATATGGCTGCTGATACCCAGCCAGAGCGTGAGCTGCAGGCACATTGCTCCTTCTGCCTTGGCTCCAGGGCAGGATCCCCCAGCCAAGGGGTGGGATGGGTGGCCAGGGACAGGACCCTTGTTACCCCAGCAGGTAACTCTGATGTGTCTCATGAGTCACAGCGTTGGCTGGAAGTGTGAGCCATGTTTAGGAGGATAATTTTCATGGCCCAATTCAGTAGCTGAGCTGAATTTCCCTGCTCTGAGTGCCTTGCCAAGAGGGCTTCAAGTTCTCTCCCTCCTGGAAAGTACCCTGGGGTGCCACGTGGGCTGAGCAGAGGAGAGATTGGAGGAAGTGAGGATGGGTCAGGGCAGGGGGGTGCAAGAGGTAGATGGAGACGAAAGGAGGAGGATGGTAAAGTGTTAAGGGACATTGAGGAGAGGAGGTGGGAATACAGGCAGAGAGAGGAGGGGGGAGCAGTGAAGGGAGAGGTAGGGGTGACGGAAGGGGTTCTCATTTCCCAGGGAAGATGAAACAGGCAAGGGGCAGTGGAAAATCAAAGAAGAGATGGAGAAGAAGAGGAAATGGCCAAGGAAAAGTAAAGCCCCAGCAGTGGTTAGCCTGGGGGGATTTGTTTGCTCGCGCCCCTGGTTTGGCAGTCCTCTGCCAGGTGCTGCTCTGCGGGGCTTTGAGTCACCGCTGGTACCAGCATCTCTCACCCCAGGGCTGGCAGCGTGTCCTGGGCTGCAGCCAGGCCCCGGGCAGCGCTGGGGACAAAACTGTCCGTGGCCAGGGTCACTGCCCTCTGCCCGCTGGGGTGAGCTCGGGCTTGGCGAGGACGAGCAGCTGCTTTGGGAACAGTCTGACTCAGGAATCCCGTTTTTTTCTCCCCCCTTTGTTTTGCTGTTCTCTCCCCCCTCCTCCTTTTTCTTTGTCTGCTAATGCACAGCAGATGGGAGGAAATGCCATTTTAAATGCCACAGCGTCCTGATGAAGCGCGATGGGTTATGGCAATCTCGGATGAATCATGGCATTGTTTTGTGTACACGGCCCCGCTGTGGCTCTCTCGCTTGGGCAGCTTTCTGCTGCGATTTTGTAAATACGCTTAGGGCCGTTTAGGTGTCCACGCCAGCCTGGTGGCAGGTGTCCTCCAAGACCTGGGGGTTCAAGTCACATTAATTAATTAATCAGCCACATTTGTGAAGGCAAACCCAAGCCCGCAGTGCTTTAGCAGTGGCGAAACCAGCAGCTAACTCTGAAACATCTGGTCCATACTGCCTGTGGGGACATGGGGGTTATAAATTATGCTCAATTCCCATGTTACGTTTATAGCATTTCCGCACAAGGTGCAAGAACAGAATCGAGAGAACTCGACCCGGCGCAGCACCGCTCTCCCTGCCGCCTGCTGCTTAGCCTGTGGCCCCTCTGGAGAGCCGGGCTGTGTCTCCACGCCTGCCTCGTCCTCGGCCCCACGGCTCCACGGCCAGGATGGATCCATGGAGCCAAGGCTAAGGGATTTTCTGTGATGTGGCCACTTGCTGCTGGGGCTTTGCTTGGGGTGATCGGATCATTTCATGTAAGCTATCAGGCAGGAATGAAATAATATTGACTCAGTCACTGGCAGCCTGCTGCCAGATGAGAAGGAGCAGCTCAGAAGTGAAAAAAAGCTCATAGCGACCCAGCCCTGTTAGTTTCAAACTAATTAATTGTGGGAAGAAGTCACCTCTAAGCCTGCAGCATATAAAGCAGTCTTTTAATTTCAGTAGCTGAAAGAACAGATTTGAGAACTCCAACGAGCAGAAGACATGACATTAAAATTTGGTTGCAATATGCTTAATTTTAACCATCTAGAGTGGAAACGTATCTCTGGCTACGTCTAACTGCCTGTGTGTCTACTGGCGTGGCAGTTATTCAGTGCTGGCACTGAAGAGCTGGTAGCATTAAGCCATTTCATTTCTCATTTTTTGGTAGTAGATCTAATATATGTTGATGCAATGAGCAGAAGGGCTGTTATTATTAATCAAGCCCCATCCCAGCCCTGCTTTCCCCCGGGCTCTTGCTCTCATTTCTAAGTGTATCCCCGTTAAAAGGCCTGGCAGCCTCGCAGCGCAGCGCAGCCAACACCAACAGCAGCAACAGCTCTGCTGTGTTTGTCCAGATTTCAGCAGCTCTACCTGGGAGGAGAGGGGAAGGGGGCTGTGTTTGCCTTCCTGATGCCAGAGGTCCAGGGTATTATTTTTCCCGCGTCGGGTGCCCTTTGCTGCTTGAACTTCAGTCAAAAGGCGTGCGGCAGGAAAAGGAGGGGAAGGAGGGAGCGGGAAGAGGCAGGGGCTGCTCCACAGCACCGGGGTCGTGCTCCACAGGACTGTGCCTTGCACCTTCCCAGCATCCTGAGCTTTCCCAGCTCAATTCTGTCCAGACCAAAGCTCTTGCTGCTGGTTAAGTGGCCCAATATGAGCCTGGCAGAGGAGGAACAACCCCTTGTTTTTCAGCAGTGAGCTGCCCTGCTGGCGTGGTTGTATCCTATAACTTTGCCCTAGGACAGCTCATGCTCCCATGCAAACCAGAAGCGTTTGCCCCCCAGCCCGGCGGTCTCTGCCCCACGGTCCCTGACCATAACCCCCACCTGCAGCCTGCTGGTTTGCTCTGCAGTCACCCTGTGCGTGGTGTCTGGGGGGCTGGGAAAGAGAGGAAGCCTTGCCAGGGCAGGAAGGCTGGGCAGAATGGGTCGCCCAGAGGAGGACATCACTGTGCAGCAGCATGTCCCACTGTCCTCCCCTGCCAGCACCATCCTGCCATGGGCACAGCCGTGTGCTGGCAGTGGAGATAACAGTGGTCTGAAAACAGGGGAAGAAAAGGAAAAAAAACCGTAGGAATTCAGCCCTCTCTTTCCACAGTTTTCTGCTTTGTACATTAATGTCCCTTCCTGGTCCCCTCGTGCCTGACCATGGCTGCTGGGCATGAGGAGAGCGCCATTAATGGGCTCTTGATGTGTGTTTATTTCGTTTAGCACATCCTGAGTGCCGTGGTGAGAGCTTTGGAGACGTTCGTTACGGTGATTGCTTTCCCTGCTTATGAAGATGGAAAAAGCCACAGTGGTTAAGGGAGGGGAGTGGACAGATGCCAGACGCATTACTGCTCTGGGCAGTCACGGAGGGCCCGTTCCTTAGGTGCTTTGCCTCGGAAGGACGAGGGTTGTGAAAAGCACGGCTTCCCCATGACCTGCACCCCTTGACCAAGTGGCTGCAGGTTTAGAGTAGACCCCACGAGGGACACGAGACCCCTCAAGGGTCTACCCTGGTTTGGCAGGGCTTGGGCTGAAAGCAGGGGAAACTCGTGTGAGCACATCCAGCACGAGCCTCGCCTCGTGCCATGGTGATGCCAGCCCTTCCTGATGCTCGCGGCGTGAGCAGACGAGGCCGGGGCGATGGTCCTGCTTACAGCATCCTCATCCTCTGAAAGCCCGGGACAGGCAGCCGCAGCGGGGCAGGTAGTTCATCCACGCACGCAGATGCCTGCCTGCGCCTGCAGTGACCTCACCCTCCGGGCCCGTTTCGAGGTGGCTTTCCCTCTCATAACGGGGGATTTTGCTGTAAGGTGACACAACACGTGCGTGGGGTGGGAGCCACCTCAATCAGAGCAGTGGGTGATGCCCCACTCCTCCCAGCAGAAGGAGGTCTTTCCTTGAGTGGACACTTGGTGAAGCACCCTTGAGCCATTACCTGACCGCTCTGCCTGCTCCCTGCTAGACAAGAGACCGGGCAGGATGGAAAGGTTGTGCTCCTGGTACCCAAACCTGTCACCTCCTGGGCTTCCCGGGTGGGCTGTGGAGCACTCCTGCTCTGCTCGGGTGGGACACAGCCCCACACTGGCTTCAGCCACGTTCTCCAGGTTGATGTGACTTTAATGTACTAGAAAAGCTCAAGTTTCATGCAGGAACAACACGTACACACGTGCTTGTGTGGGATTAACATGGAAGAGGAGCAGGCTTGGACCTGCACTGACACAGACAGCAGAGATGGACTCCTGCAGCCGTGTTAGTCCCTGTCCTCGCTGCCTTGCCATGGGAACAGCACGGCCAGAGATGGCCATTTATTTGCGTACGACAACAATACAGGGGAATTGACAACAGATTCTTGCCTTATCTTGCTCAAGGGTTATTGCAGTGAAGGGATTTATTTTGGCTTTTCTGCCAAAAAATGTACGCAGAGATTCCACCAAAGCCCATATATATATTTCTCTTGGAAACAGAAGAAAACCCAGTATCCAAAAAAGCCCTGCGCTGTTATTAATCTCTGGGGTTTTATCCAAGTTTCATTAGGAATCTGGACATACTTGAAATGGCTTTCAGATAAAGCTGAATGAATCTCCCTCTGTCTTAGAGGCTGGTGTGGCCTGATTTCCTAGCTGAGATTTGGGTGGGTTGGGAATCGGGTAGGAGATTTCCAGCCACCCAAACTGGGAAGGAAGCAGTGCCGTAAAGCAACCCAATTTGAATGACTCGCAGATGCTTTCCATGGCTTGCTGGGAGCGTGGGGCTGGCAGGGACCTCCCAATGGAGGGAAGCTCTTCCCTGGCCGGGGTTGAACCAGATGGGCAAGAAATGGCTCTCGATGCGCGTGATTTGTAGGGTAGGAGAGCTGGGAGAGCTGACCCTCCGGCGGGGAACAGCCTGCCCACAGCTCCGGGGAGAAAAAGGTCAAAGTGGAGATGCTGGGGCAAGGAGCAGGCTGAAGACACCCCCTTGCCTTCCCCAGGACGGGGGTCCTGGATGTGGCCACCTCTAAGCCACAGCAAGCCTGCCAGCCCTTGTAAGCCACAAGAGGGTGACAAAGTCCCATCCTGTGCTATGGTGGCCCTGGACAAACCCAGAGGTGTCCCTGGCTAGCAGAGCATAGCAGTCCCGCTTGGAGACTAAGCCTGGCTGGGTGACCAGAAGCTCTTGGAAAGCCCTTGCTGAAGTCCTAGATGGGAGAGAGCACAGGATGGAAATGATCCTGCTGCTGGGGAGCTGGGGACTTTTTTTTTCTGCCTGGCCTTGGTTAACATCATTTCTGGCATCAGCAAACCATTCCGCTTGCCAAAAGAGGGGGGAACTCCCCAAAATCACTGTAGCAGGCAGGGAAAGAAACCTCGCCCTTGCTCCCCGTTGGTGGTCTAATGTGAAACCCATGTTTTAGAGTAAGATTGGAAAAACAGAGAGCTGCTAGGGGGGAACTCCCCAAAATCACTGTAGCAGGCAGGGAAAGAAACCTCGCCCTTGCTCCCCGTTGGTGGTCTAATGTGAAACCCATGTTTTAGAGTAAGATTGGAAAAACAGAGAGCTGCTCTGTTACTGTCCTTTGTGCTCCCCGGGGAGCTGCGCGGCCAGCCTGTCCCGTACCTCCTGGTGCTCCAAAGATGCCGGGGCTTGGGGACACAGGTTGGTGGAGGGGCCCCCCCAAACAGTCAGACAAAGCTGGGCTGGAGGCAGCTTGGTGCCACTGCCAAGGATGTTCCAGGAGCATCCATGCCACCTGGGGTGCAGGGAAGATGCTCCTGCTGTTCCCCGGCCATGCTCCTGCTGCCTGGGACGTCCCCAGGGTACTGGTGGATGGTCACCCTGGGCATGTCACACTCTCCTCCCCCGCCTGCCTCCCAGGCTCCAGCAACCCCCTCGGCGCAGCGTGGGCAGGGAGCACCGGGCTTCTCGCAAGACGATCTTTGCAATTCCGCTTCCAGAGGGACAAGCCGCCCAAGACACTGTCCAAGACAGAAGATTAAAGTTCTCTGGGAGGTTTCCAAGCCAGAGTCTCATCCTCCCCTGTCCCAGGAGGCCGGGGCAGCGGGTGTGGGCTTGACGGCATCTCCGGCTGTGAGCTCCAGCCAGCTCCCTTCCAACTTCATCTGTCGCTGGGATGGGAAGAGCCTGCAGCGCACCAGACAGGAGGACGGCTCTGCCAACCTCTGATCTTATCTGCTGGGGAGGGCGGCTGTCGGGCGGGGAGCTGGCCGTGCCTCCCTGGGAAGGACGGGCTGTTTTCCTCCGGCGCGTGGCTTCATTTCCCCCCTCACTCTGCTGCAGGAGTGCGTGCGTGCAGCAGTGCATGTACCGATATGGTATAGAGGGATGTATATTTGCAAATCCCCTCACTCCCATCTGTTTCTTATGCTGTTATTGATAGAAGGAGGAGGGGATAAAAATGCTTGAGTGGAACTGGGAATGTGGCTCCTCGTCCCGCTCCCTGCCAGGCTTGGTGAGAGGGGTCCCTGTAACGCGTGCCGTCGTGCTTCACCCCCGCTGCCCGTGGGTGATGGGAGCGTTCAGAGACGGCGTGGAGGCATGGGGGTGCGGAGGTGTGCTCCGAGTGCTTCTGCAAACAGATGTGTGCCTGGCCTCGGTGGGCAGGTGCCTTTGCTTGGCTGGGGAAGGGGTGATTACACCTCTGGGTGCTTTGGGGTGCCTGTGGGCCAGGGATGTGGGGTGCTGGGGTGCGGCTGTGTGGCGTGATGTGAAGGAGGGTGCGTGTCCAGGTAACACGGGCTCTCTGCTTGCAGCTGCAGCTTCTTCACTGAGTTTATACTCCAGGGAGATTCTTCTATTTTCTCTTTAAATACTAGAAGTAATTAGATGCTGCTTATGAGTAATCGCTTGGACTGAACAGTCTGGTTTCATTAAAGTGGTCAGTGTGAAATGCCTCATGAGTTGGTAGGAAAACACCCAAGAAAGATGCCTTCTCTCTCAGGCTCCCAGGAGCTGCCGTGGGGTTAAACCCCATCTTTGCTTGCCTGTCTGGGGCTCTCTTTGAAGACCTCCCTGAGGGAGGAGGGAGGAAACATCACCTCCCTCGGGAAGGGCGGTGGAGATGGAAGGGGGGCAGGTTGTGCCAGAAACAGGGGGGCTGTGGGGTTCAGTGGGGAACAGCTGATCCCGTGCTTTACCTACAGTCCCACAGCAACATGCAGAAACATTTGCTGCTGCTTCCCAAGCCAGGACCGTGAAAGCCTAAAGCCAATGTTAACGACCGGCTTGCAACATGCTGAATTTTACAGTCCTCGGGGAAAATTGTGACAGTAAATCTGCCTTGGGCTTCAGTCGTTAAGTTGCCCTCAATACCACAAAAATCCCTGCAAATTTCATGTTGATTTTGGCCATGCAAATGAAGTGCTCTGTTGCAGTGTTAATGGCAAAAGAGATTTTCGAGGCCTTGGACGCGGCGGCGCTCGTTTGGATGAGCCGGCGGCAGGGAGCGGATGGAGGGAACAGGCTCCGTTTGGTGTGTTCCGCACATTTTATCAGCTTATCCGATCCGTAGGCAGATGAAACAGTGCAAGTCAGACGGGGTGAGAAGAGATTTCCCAACAGGGTAAGCAGGCATTTGGAGGCAGGAGGAGTGTGGGAACTGCTAGGGAGAAAAACTTTTGGGACCTGGGGCTGGGGAAGGCTCTGGGCTCTCTCTGCCAGGAGAGAGCCCAGGCTGCAGGGCAGGACCGCACAGACCCAGCCGGGCTCTGCAGCTGTTCTGGACATCCCTGGGACAAGCTCCGTAATTGCCCCATTCCTCGTGCATCTCCCTGGACATGGAGCCGCATCCTGATGCATCGCAGAGACGTGATGCTGAAGAGCTGAGCTGGACCAGGGCTGACCTGCGCAGCCATTTTCACGTTATCCTTGCAGCCCTGGGCTCCGGTCACCTAGCAACTGTGCATCGGATTGCGCGGCAGCGTTAAATAAATGGTGTTCGGCAGGACCGTGAACCCTGCCGGGCCTTTCACGTGCTGCCAGGGCACATAATCCGTGTTCTTCCCCCTTCCCAAATCCCCGCCGTCATCCCGCATTTAAGCCGGTCCTGCGGTACCCAGTGCCGTTTTCAGCCTGTTCGAGAATCAACTTCTCCCGGGGTGGGATCCCAGCCCTGCTTTGACTTGGATCCTGGGGCTGATCTGCATCTCCTGCTTTTGTTTAGCTTGGTGTTTAGGGGAGCTGAATATGGGTTATACCTTTCCATTTATAGTTTTAGTGAGGCATGATTGGATTTTGTTCCATTCATTTTTTATCTTGACTAAAATGTCGGTTTTGAAGACCTATTATTAGCAATTTTGTATAGCTTCTGGATTACTGCGGATAATCATGAATCACCCTCTGCAGTATTGATATAGGTACTTTAAGCCTCCCAACAACCACCCTGTTAGTTATGCCTGTGACTGAGAGCAGAAAACCCTCGATGGTAATGGGTGGGCTTGAAATACGGGGACGGCGCTCCAGATCCGGTGCCTGCGGAGCGCATTTGTCTGCCATTCCCGCGTGCGACAGGAGCCCTGGTGCACACGCCGTGGCTCAGCTCCAGCTCCCAGTGCCAGCCCGGGGCTTTGCTTCCAGCCCCTTCCGGCCCCTTCCCCACATTTTTCCCGCTTGGTGCCCGCGTCTCCTTGCGGGGTCCTCCAGCGCTGGGTTTGCTGCTCTCTGTTTGGGTAACGGCGTTTCTTGGCTCGATCTGGTGGTTTTACTGGTGCCCGGTGGGCAGCTGCCTGAGCTGGAGTAAATACAGCTTGCCTGGACCCGTTGCTCTGGGAGGAGGCTGCTCCAGGCCGCTCTG